GTGCACCACTGTCTCGACAGGCTTCATTAGAAACGTAGAACGCAAAGGCAAAGCGGACGATCGCTACATTTGCGATACATCACAAGCATAGCATCGCAGGATAGCCGACATAACACGAGGCAAAAACCAATAATTAAAAAAAAAGAGTATTTGAAAAAATTGCGCGAATTAAATCGAAAAATTCATTTGCCTTGAAGGCAGTTCTTTCGGAGGATGAAATTTCAAGAAAGACAAGTGTTCGCGCGCTCAAATGGCGTAATATGAGGCAACTAAGCTGAATTAAGCAAATTGAAATAAGACAAAAAAAATCGGGGTAGATACATTGGCGACTGACTTCAAAAAATTTTAGTACGGATAACTAAACGCAAACACTCTGAAGAAATATCAGTTGCTGTGTGTTCCGATTTGTTGATGCTTGCTAATCGCAGCGTCAGTAAAATTGAACTCAATCATGACATGCGTAGAGCACAGGAAGAAGTTTGATATCTTAAAGCTGAAACAACTGCAAGTTCCAAGTGAAGAAAACAGCTGTCAAGAGCGTCTGAATTGAAGAAGACATAGCCAACAGATTGTTGAGAGTGTCAGCTAACGAATGAAAACCAAAAAAATCAATATTCCGATTTGAAAACGCTTGCTAGTCGCAAGCGTAATTATCGAACGTCATAAAGATAAGGAATCGATTTTTAATGGTTTTGTTGAAAAAAATTTACGATAAATACGATTTTCATGAAAGTCACCCAATTGGAGAAAAATGAAGCCATTGGCGATTTTTCAAAGCGCTTCAAATTCTAAAAGAAACCTTGTTTCAAAATTAAAGTCATTCACCTTTTACCGCACCATTAGCACTTTCGTAATTGAAGAGCGCAATTTGCCTTTTTTTTAACAAATGAATTAGAATAGAACTTAAAAATTGTTCTTTAAAAATTGCAACTAAAAACCTTTCAAATTTCTTTGATTCTATGTTCCGATATTTCCTTATTCAAGGGCGTCTGAATCAAAGAAGACATAGCCAATAGACAGTTGAAGAGTCAAGGAAGTGACAAGTCTTTTTAACGTTCAAATTTCGAAGAAAACATTACAGAGCCTTAAGGCTTTTTGAAGTTCTAGAACCAGGTATAATTGACACTTCATTAATAAACTAACCGAAATTCAGGAAACTAGAATAAGAGGTAAACTTTTAATTTGCTGGAATATCTGAAAACAAAATTCCATTTCGGAAACTAGAAGTTAATCACGTTTTTCGTGCTCTTTACACTTTTGCCGTTCAGTAGTGGAGTTTGCCTTCCTTTTATAAACGAATATGAACTGAACTCAAAAGAAAAAAAAACTTCAAATAAAAAAAGAGAAAATTTGAGCCTTAAGAAATATAGACTTTTCCGGAAAGAAAAATATAACAACCTACATAGGAGTCTGAACTGGGTTCATCGCATCTCAGAAACATTAAAAATGAGATTTAAAATGACTAAAACATCCTTAAAAATTTAGAAATAAATTATTTTTTGAATTGCGAGGTCAGCCTCTTGTCAAATTTTGTCTCATTTAGTCTTGAAAACCGAAAAAAAAATAAATTCAGACTAGTTTTTGTCGAAACTAAGAAATCATTTTTAGCCCGAATCACGATCAAATGGGCTTTACTATGATAACACCATGGATCCCCCACGAGCTTCCTTTGAGGTAAACAAACTTGGTTTAATTTTTTTAATAGACCCCACGCCATAGTTCCTTCGCACTCTTCGAAGAAGTTCGGAACAACGAACAGAATATACACTTGAGAGGGAAGATAACTCATTTAACTCTATCGTTCTCATTAATTTATTTCAATAAATTTTTGTAGCTCTCCTTAAATTTTGCCAGTTGTCTTTTGTTACTATTTGTTAGAATACGATTATGATGCAACTAAGCTGTATTAAGCAAAACTAGAATGACATCAAAATCGGGTAAACAAATTTGCGAAATTTAGACAAAAAAAATTGGATAAACTTAGACAAAAAAATTGAACAGAACGGATAACTTAAACGTGAAAACTCTGAAGAAATGCCAGTTGGTTGAACTAAACAGTTATGGAGAGATTTCACGAAATGATTCAGTGATTCCGATATACGAGTTGTTAAGCTGAAAAAAGGTCTACTGTGATTTGTTGAAGCTTGCTAATTACAAGCGTAAACATGTTTGAATGCAATCATGCCAAGATATTGAGATACTAAATGACGTGCGTAGAATACAGGAAAAAGTTCAAAACAATAAGGCTGAAGCAATTGCTATCTCCTAACTGCTTAGCAAAAACGCTTTTCCGCGATAGCTCAATTTTTCAAAACAGCTTAGAGGTTCACTTTATACCCAGATTGCAAATGAAATAAAGCCAACAAACTGTTTGAAAAGTGTTAGCTAACAAAAAAACAATCAAAAAAGCCAATTCTTCAACTTTCCATGTTAAAAAAAGTTAGAAAGAAAACAATACGCAGAGAAAGAAAACAATACGCAGAGGCGAAGCTGAGCATCGCACCACCTGCGATAAAAACAATTATAAGATGAAAGTACCATGATGCTCAAAAAATAGCAAATAGAACTTCGAATAACACTTGTTGATTGCAAGCCTCGCAAGGTTACAATTGACACAAGTAGTAGAAAAACAAAGAATTTAAAAATATATATATTTTTTTGAGTTTAAATTAAAATTTTTCCAAAAAGTCTTAGTGGGGTTGACTTTGGGCATTCAAAAAATGGTGACAGAGTCTTATTGATATCAAAACAACTGCCGGACAATTACAGTGAAAAAAATCCGTAAATAAGACGACTGGAATAAAGTTGACATCCGATTAGCTGAAACTAAGTGAAAAAATTTTGTCAAAAAATCATATCGGAAAAAACTCCAAGGAAAGCCAAAACAGGATGCACAATAGCTAGATAAAAAGCGTGTGCAGATTGGACTTCAGAATTGGGAATTTAAATCGGCGGAGCTTAAGTCGACAACCATGTAGCCGAAAAATCATCAGCAGAAAATTAGTATCAAAACTCTATATATAAGCTCTACTTATAAAATATACCAGAAGTAACTAGTATCCACCTCGAAGCTGAATTCATTTTTTCATGATAATCAACATGTCAACTGCATAGCAGCATCATAGGTGATTCAAATGATTCTGTTAAACTGGTTGTAAATCCGAAAACAAGTCTAATTTCCGATTTGATAACGCTTGCTAATCGCAAGCATAATTAGGGAATGTCATCAAAAAGAACCAAATTTTAATGATTTTGTTGAAAAAAAACCCACGATTAACGTTTTTCATGAAAGTTAACAGAGTGGAAAAAAATGAACCCGTGAGTAATTTTTCAAAGCGCTTCAAATTCCAAAAAAATCTACTTTCAAAACTAAAGTCATCGATGTTTTCGCGCCATTAGCACTTTCGTAGTTGAAGAGCGTAATTTGCTTTCCTTTTAACTAATGAATTTGAATAACCCTCAAGCAAAACTTTTCTTGAAGAAATAAGTCGAAACAATTGGTTGCAATTGTTGAATATTTAATTTTCAATGGACCAAGTGAAAACAATTGTTTCGGTTGTTTTTTTTTCAAGAAAATTTTACACAGAGGCGAAGTTGCACTTCGCATACACAAGCAAGAACATGACCGATAATGCTACTGGGAAAATCTGAATCAGTACAACTTTGAGTCTACAAAATTTTTTAAATGACGCACGCCAATTATGACGCATTAGTAGTACCAGTCCATTTGAAAAAAGAGAAAGTTACCAACTAACAAGCTTTCTTTAACCAGTTTGGAACGATTTCTGTGACGGATTAAATATCCGCTTACGTTTAATAGCGCGAAATATATCGCGCGTTAATTGTCCCAAACTGGCCAAAATGGCAATTTTTAAGCCCCCGTAACTTAAAAAACGATCACAGGTAAAATATATTTCCAAATTTAAGCTCAGGACAACAATATTTTATGCATAATATACAAAAATCCCGTCGAAAATGGCTAGTTATAAAGTCGAAACGTGTCTGGAAAAAACCACCCCGAGCACAAATACTCCGCTACTTACAGTAAAATCCTTAGCATTGGCTGTACTTATTAGCTGGTTATTGATCAAAATGAACCATTTTAAAATTAACACATTGCATCGCACCATATTTGCGTCGCAACAATATTTGCGACTTAGGTTGGAAAAAAAAGTTCATACTATAACACAAGCATTGCTTGGGTAATTAATCTTATTAATGTTTATTAATTCTGAACAACGAACACTTTATACACTTGAATGGGGAGGGAACTTATTTAACTATGGTTCTTATTAATTTAATAAATTCAATTTTGTCGCTTTCCTTAAATTTTGCCAGTTGTCGTTTGTACTTTGTTGTCTTTTATTGCGAATTGTCTCGGTACCATTGAAATTTTTTTTGTTTTTCTGCCTAGCATTTTTTTTCAACTATTCAAGGCCATCTTTGCACTCATGACTTCAACAGTGTTATTATATTATTCTAACCACACTAGACATGATTTGGTCAGCCTGTTACTAAAAAACATGTGACAAGAATTGAATAGAACCTAAGAACCTAGCCAACCGACAGTTGGAAAAGAGTCAATGAACACAAGGAAACAGAAATAACAAAGGTCTTGTTTTTGCAAAAACTTCATTTTTCGAGTTTCAAAATTAAAAAAATTATGACTCTTTGAAAGCTCTTTGAAAATCAAAAACAATTCATGATTGAAACATTTCCAATCAAAGTTACTCAATTTGAGAAAAGTGTATCAATAGCAAGTTTTTATTCCGCTGGGAAATATAAAAGAAAAAACCAACTTTTGAAACTAGATGTCAATCACGTCTTTCATGACTTTCACACGTTTGCTGTTCGATAGTGGAGTTTGCCTCCCTTTTAACAAAGGAAATACACTGTACAAAAAATCAAGCTTGAGCTTGAACGAATTTTCCCGAAAAAAATCATCACGACCTATATGAGTCTTCAATGCGATCATCGGCTCTTAATCAAGTGAGAGCTCATTATCACATACTTTTATTGTCATGACAGGAGATTGATTACTCGATCTCCAAGCAAACCAAAAATATAATATTTTTAGTAATAAACCTATTCACAAAAAACACACATAATCAGTCAGAGAAGCAACATAAAATACAATTATTAATCTTTGGTCAGCTTTGGTCAAATATTACCAATTCAGAATTCATAAACCTAGTACATGAAGTGAAAAATGAATGCAAAATAAAGAATTTAAAATCAATTGAGTTTAACTTGATATGTATTTATTTGACAGGAGTCTAAATTTACACTAGACTCTGAAATTTCCGAGTTTAGAGGGGTGATTCCGTTCAAACTGTATTCTGTGAACTGTAAGCTATTTTTAGAGTGGAAGACTGATTTAAGATTGATGTGTCCATTTGCTAAGGAGCAGTTTGTCGGTGATAGTTCTCCAAACGATGAGGGTTTACAGGAATGTCCCTAAAACAGATTAAAAGCCAATTTAGTGCTGCAAAAACACGGCCACGGATCTACTTAGCCAATTTGGATCTATTGGTGTATTCATATTTCAGAGATCATCGAACACGTATTTTGTAAAAAATAAAAAAAGAAGATTATCAATAATTCTACTTCATCTTGTGGAGGATTTTAAAACAATAACTCACTAATTTCAATTATAATTCCCTGTAGTTTCTTTCTTCCATTCTTTCTTTCTTTCCGTTCAAGTTCTATTACAAAGCAGCAAACATGCAAACTACGAAAGAAAAAGATACCTGGCGATGTAGAATCAGCAGAGCTTGTTTCGATTCTAACTTCATAGTTCTGAAGCTCAGCACGTTCACGTCACATGGCAAGTATCCACTGCTCTGACTCTTGTAACCCACCATGCCAGCCACATCCTTTTCACTGATTCCAGTCCACACACTTTTCGGCAACAGAGTCAACATTGGACTGTTCAGAGCCAAGTTTGCATGTTGGGATAGAACTGTGGGATAGAGCGTGTAGTCTGAGGCATCTTTCGTGGAGGGGTTGAAGGAGTCGGCAAATTTTTCCAACACTAGCCAGAAGTCGTTTGGAGTCACTTTGTTGTCTTTAACACCTGGGAAAACAATTTAAATTGAGCGAAATCAAAGGTGAAACTGAATTTTAAATAAGCTAGCGCTTAATGCACCTCCGGTGCTTCGGATTTTCAATATCTCATAAGAACCGCATTTATTGGAAATAACATCTGCACCCTTTGAGTGTACTCTGACAGCACCCAATTACAGGGTTGGTAATTTCAAATTTTGTAATGATTTTTTTCAATTGATTTTTTTTATTCAAATTTTGAAAAACTTTAAGCTTTGTGAAATTTTTTAATAGCTAAGTTTATAATAAATTAAAAAACGTCACATCTCGGAACGAGCAGTCGCATTTCGACGCAAGATTTGCATCTCCTGAGAGTTCTCGGACAAATCCCAACTACAGGTTTGTCACAAAAAACGTCACATCTGGAAAACTATAAAGATTTGAGCAATCATATTTGGAGCCAAAATTTGCAACTCCTGAGAGTACTCTAACAGCTCCAACTAAAGGGTTGCGAGTTTCAGATTTTTAAAAACTAATAATAATTGAAGTTTTCTGAAAATTTTTGAAAAAATCACAAAAACATCATATCACGAAAACTGCAACGAATTGAGCAGTCATATTTGGGGGCAAGATTCGCAATCTTTGAGAATACTCTGACAGGACCCAACTATAGAGTTGGGAATTTCAGATTTTACGAAAAAAATTAATATAAGTTTTCTGAAAATTTTTTGAAAAACTCACAAAAAACGTCATATCTCGAAAACTACAAAGAATTGAGCATTCATATTTGTAGGCAAGATTCACACTCTTTGAGAATACTCTGACAGGACCCAACTACAGGGTTGCGAGTTTCAGATTTTTAAAAACTAAAAATAATTTAAGTTTTCTGAAAATTTTTGAAAAAAATCACAAAAACATCATATCTCGAGAACTGCAACGAATTGAGCAGTCATATATGGAGGCAAGATTCGCAATCTTTGAGAATACTCTGACAGGACCCAACTACAGGGTTGGGAATTTCAGATTTTGCGAAAAAAAATTTAATATAAGTTTTCTGAAAATTTTTTGAAAAAATCACAAAAAACGTCATATCTCGAAAACTACAAGGATTTGAACAGTCATATTTGGAGGCAAGATTTATAACTCTTAGAATAATCTGACAGCACCCAACTACAGAGTTGAGAACTTCAAGTTTTGTAAATTATTTTGTTATTTGAATTTTCTGAAAAAATCTCAAAAATCGTCTTGTCTCGTTTACTAAAATGATTCGGGCATTCAAAATTGGAGGCCAAATTCGCAACCCCTAATTCGATATTGGGCTGCTTAAATTAAACTCGATAAAATAACCACTAAAATCAAATCGGAAAATCGAAAAAAAAATCTTAACCATTGCAATATACGATACAGCTTAAACATGCAAAAATAATACGTTGAAAAAGCTTAAACATGGCGAGATAGTGAAGCCCGCATTTAAATATATAATAGATAGATTAGATTGAATTCAAGAGACAAGAGCGATCAAATCTGTAAGTTAGAATTACCACCACTGATTTTTGTGATTTAAAAAATCTATTCACCTTAAAAACCACCAATTTACTCAGTACCCAAAAATGATCTTTTAACCTCATGCACTAAGATATCTCAAGTAGTGATGATGCAATTGTTGGATTCATCATGTGCTTACCTTGGAAGAGACCTCTGTTGTCGTCCTGCATCAGTCGTCTGTCCAGGATGATGTCAACTTCTCCCGATGATGTCATGCCCGTGCCAAGCGACTGAGCCGAGTGGAGAGTGAGACGGGAAGTGCCCTTTGGACTGTCAATTACCATCTAATACAAAGAGCACCCTTCAAACAGTACCCTTCAAACAGCACCCTTGAAAGCCTGAAAAACCTTTCCTCTAAAAACACTTCAATTTCAATCATTTTTTTCTCCTCGGAGCTGTAAAAATAGAGCTTTACCAAAGATTTTTCGTAGTAGTATTGCAAAAGCAGCTTGGTCGACTTTTTGGGACAATTTATTAATTATAAGGGCGAATTGATTCAAATTTACCTTAGTAGGCATGGGGTAGAAATTGGCCTGAAGAGGCAGTTTTGAGTAGAAGTGTCTCGCTTGCATCTGGAACCCATTCAAATCAGTGTAGAAAGTGTGCTTCAATGATCCGTCCGGTTTCCTCATCAACTCTGTCCCATCTACTCGCATGGCCAGTTCTCTGTTAGATAGAATGCGAATATCTACCAGATTCGAGATCGATATTGCGTGACCATCAATTCCTACAACAAATAAAACCACCTGGTTATTTTTCGACGTCAAAAACTTTTTGATTACAAACTTAATACCACAGAAATTTTTTCTTTCATTCAACTTTTAGCTGAACAATTTTTTAACAGCTAAAATCCTTAAATTTTTTCTTCTATAACCGCTAACAAAAAAAACTAAGCCAACATAACTTGAATGCATACAAAAAAAATGAAATGAATAAATGATTGAAGTATCATTTGAAAAAAATGTACGCGGCAGTAATACCGGTGAACAACAAAAAAATTGTTGACAAAAATAATGCGTTCATTCAGCCAAAAATAGCCGCTCATTGAGCCGAAAACAAAAACATCCACAAAAAACTGTTGACAAAAAACATGCGTTCATTCAGCCAAAAATAGCCGCTCATTGAGCCGAAAACAAAAACAGCCACAAAAAATTGTTGACAAAAAACCTGCGATCATTGAGCCAAAAATAACCACTCTGAGCAGCTCATTGAGCCGAAAAAAAAAGCCACAAAAATAGTTAACAAAAGTTTTTTTAATTAGGTTTCGAAGCTATGAACTTTTGCAAGACAAACCAAATGACTTTTTTACAATAATTTTTGCTTTATGAAGCGACACAAATCAAAGTAACTAAGGCGATAAAACATGAGCCAGAAAAATTTAGGCCGAATGAAGCTTCTAAAGGAAAAAACAAAAAAAAATTAAATAAAGTCAAGGCTATTATTTCATAAAATACACGAATACACAAAAAATACTTGTATCTACGTCGCAATTGCTGACTGCACAAAAAAATTTCACAAAGTGGCAACTAAGCCCAAAAAATACGACAAACAAAAGTCCGACATACTGTAAAAAAAAAACGGTCCGACCGGGACACGAAACAAAAGAGCTTACGGTATAGCTTCGGGCAAAGAACAACTACGGGCTTTAACCTAGGTTTAGCACAGAGCGGTGACTAAGCCGACGAAACTTGAGCATAAAAAAGTTTCAAGGGACGCAAAGCGGAAATTAGCACTACTTGCGATAAAAAACAAATACAATATGACATACTAGCTGACAGAAAATGAGAAGAATGCTGCTAGTTCAAAAACATAGCCAATCGAAGATTGGAAAAGAGTAATGAACGCAAGTAGACATTAAACAAACACTGACTTTCTTGAAAAAATTCAACTTTCGAATTTCAAAGAAAAAATAGATGTCCTTTCAGCTCTTTGAATTTTTAGAACAATTTATGATTGACGCTTTTTTGATAATATGAGCCCAACATGAGAAACCTGGATCAAAAGGTAAAGTTTATATTCCGCTGGGACATCTTAAAAATAAATTTCACTTTCGAAACTAGAAATCGTTCACGTTTTTTGCGCCATTTCCACGTTCGTATTTGGAGAGCGATATTTACGTCACTTTCAGCAGATGAATTCCAATTGAACTCAAAAAGTGCATTATACGTAAGTGCATCAATATTTTAAGACTTTTTCCTAAAAAAAAATCAGCAAGACCTATATCATTACTCTAAAAAATGTGACACAACTTCAAAAAATTAGATATGCAAAACAAGTCGATAGATATAAAACGCAAATTTCTAGGCCGAATGAACAGAAATTGCACGCAAAACAAACGAATAAAGGAAATCATACGAAGTGAAATGGTAAATTTACAACCCAAAAAAACGAATAGAACGGGTATTTAAAATGCAGACGTGCTCATGTCTGATGATTGACCAAATTAGAGATTTCAGACAATGATTCACTAACTCCGTTAAAGATTGCTTACCTGGGAAAAATTTATGGCGTAAGCAATCGCGAGCGTAAAAAACGACAAAAATTCGTGACCTTTACATTTTTGCTGATCGATTGTGGATGGAACTGAACCTAAAAAGAAATCACAAGTCTTGCTGATCGATTGTGGATGGAACTGAACCTAAAAAGAAATCACAAGTCAAACCGCGAAAAACAAAATTGAGCGTGAACAAACTTTAAGACTATTTCCTGAAAAAAAAAACGAACAGAAAAATCAGCAAGAACTATATAAGAGACCTCATTACGTTTATTACTCTTAAATTTTCAGCTTTTGAATTTCGAAAAACAATAGATGGCCTTTAAGCTCTTTGAATTTGTAGAAAAACTTTCAATGGACACTTTTTGTTAAAACTAACCCAATTTGAGAAAACTGGATCAATCGGTTCAACTTTTATTTCGCTGAGAAATCTGATAATTAATTTGAATTTTCGAAATTAGAAGTCGATCACGCTTTTCGTGATTTTTTTCAATTTTGCTAATCGATAGTTGAGTTTGTCTTCCTTTTAAAAATAGAAATGTACTGGAATTTAAAAAATTATCACAAGTTTGCACAACAATTTATGATGGCCACTTTTTGGTTAAAGTTAATCCAATTTGAAAAAACTGGATCCATAGGGCAAAACTTCTATTTCACTGGGATACCTGATAATTAATTTCCATTTTCGAATCTAGAAGTCGATCACGTTTGTTCGATAGTAGAGTTTGTCTTTTTTTAACATTAGAAATGTACTAGACTTATAAAGATATCACCAGTCAAACCGCGAAAAATCAAAATTGAGCGTGAACAAAGTTTGAGACTTTTTCCTGAAAAAAAACCACAAAAAAATCAGCAAGACCTATATAAGAATAAGAGTAATGAACCTAGTTATTATTCTTATGTAGGTCTTGCTGATTATTTTTGTTTTTTTTTCAGGAAAGAGTCTCAAAATTTGTTCACTCTCAATTTGAATTTTTCGCGGTTTGACTGGTGATATCTTTATAAGTCTAGTACATTTCTAATGTTAAAAGGAAGACAAATTCTACTATCGAACAAACGTGATCGACTTCTAGATTCGAAAATGGAAATTAATTATCAGATATCGCAGTGAAATAGAAGTTTTGCCCTATGAATCCAGTTTTTTCAAATTGGATTAACTTTAACCAAAAAGTGGCCATCATAAATTGTTGTACAAACTTTAGGAGCTTTAGGCCATTTATTTTTCTCTTCGAAATTCAAAAATTGAAGGTTTTCGAAAAAAAATAACATTTTCGTTTCAACTTCATTGCGTTCATTACTCAACAACATTTTTCAACTGTGAGTGTAACTTTCAAAAAGCAAAAATTCGCCATCTTTGCTCTTAAAAAGTTCTGATCAGTCATATTGGGAGGCCAAATATTCAATCCCTGCGTGTACCCTAAAAGAGTTTCAAGTTCCGTTTTTTAAAACTAAAATGTTTTTTTTTAAATAAAAAAACTAGGAAAACCAAAACGATTTGGTCATGTGGGAGAAATGCAACTGCATAAAGTACCCTGAGAGTACTCCGCCATAGGGTTGAGAGTTTCAAGATCTGTAAGTGTCAAAAAAATGATAGAACCTATAAAACGCGACATCACGAAAACCTGATGGAGTTGAGCAGTGATATTTATAGACCAGATTGGCATCTAAATTTAAAAAAAGTGAAAAAACAATTTTAAAAATCAAGCCCATAGTGTACCTTGAAAGCACCCCACCATAGGGTGGAGAGCTTGCACCTTTGTTAGTTTTCTTAAATCTGAGTTTATTGAACAAAAACGCCTTATCGCGAAAACCAAAAGGATTTGAGCAACCATATTTGATGGATAGAATGGCAACTCTCTGGTATACCCTGAGAACACCCCCCCCCCCCCCCCACAACAGAGTGAAGAAATTCAAACTCGGTAACTTTTTTACATCTAAACTTTTTCACATCTAAATATATTTTTTTCTTAGCCAATTTTTTGAAAAAACATTGTAATAACCAAAACTCCACACTCTCCAAACCATGACCGGCTACATCTGGAGTGCAGAACTGCAACCCATGTTGTACTCTGAGAGCACTCAACAAAAAGGTTAACAGTTTCACGTTATCTTTGTTTTCTTAATCTGAGTTTTTTGAAAAAAAAATTGAAAAAAAAAAACAGCCAACTGACAGTTGGAAAAGAGTAAGGAACGCAAGGATACATACAAAACATAGACAACTCACAGTTGAAAAAGAGTAACGAACGCAATGAAGTTGAAACAAAAAGTTTTTTTTTCAAAACCTTCAATTTTTGAATTTCTTTGAGTTTGTACAACAATTTATGATGGTCACTTTTTTGTTTAAGTTAATCCAATTTGAGAAAACTGGATCCAATTAAATATTTCAACATTTAACTTTTTTAGTCGTTTTTCAAACGAATTCGGATTAATTAGTTAGTTCCTAAGAACTTAAGAACGAAAGTAAACAGAAAAAAAACAGACCTAATTGAAAAATCTCAACTTTCGAATTTCAAAGAAAAAAATAGATGCCCTCTAAGCTCGTTGAATTTCTCAAACAATTTATGACTGGCATTTTTTTGATAACATTAACCCAACTTGAGAAAAGTGAATCAATAGGTATTTGGAAAGTGCTATTTACGTCAATTTCAGCAGATGAATTTCTATTGAGCCTAAAAAACGCATATATACCTAAGTGCATTAATATGTATGAATGCAAATCTGTAGTTATTAGAGCATTTTAAGAGTTTTTCTAAAAAAAACAGATCTTCGTTAAAGTCTTCACTACGTTCATTACTCTTAAAAAATAACTTAAAAAATTTCTTCTTAAGCCAAAAAAACCAAAAAATCAATCAATGGTGTTTTTATGACTTCACAGCCGTGTTATTTTTTTTTGTTTACAGCGTCGTTTACATAAATGTTATTTCAACAACATAAAATAGAGCAAAAAAGCTTTTGAGCTTGAACTACATCATAGCTTCCTCAGCGTCTCCTAGAATTGAAATAACAAAATATCGTAACAAAGTAAAATTCGAATTCATGATCGATGAAATTTGAAAGATTATTGGCCATTAAAAACAATCTTTCAAACAATCTCATGCAATACAAAAGTTTTTTTCCTGTTTCAAAAATTATATTATCGGCACGAAATCGCTGCTTTGATAATTATTTCTAAGCACTCGTACAAAAACTGAAGAATCTCGAACAGTATTAGCACACTCCATCCGAGCCAGAGTCCCAAATTTCCTCCAAAATCACTCAACAAAGCTGTGACGTCATACGAGCTGGACTCTGAAATTTTCTGAAAATTAAGAGCTTCGTAGAAAACCTCAAGCCTTGCAAAATTGTTTCTAAAATGACGCTGAAGTGTTTCTTCGTCGACTACATTTTCAGCCAGCATTTTCTTCATGTATTTAATCACTCTCTTTGATTTAGATTCCAGCATTCTGGATGCAAAGTAGGGAGCGTATGCTTTAGTGGGCCAGGGCCCCGAGGACTGTCGTTGAGCGAAATCAATGGTTTCACATTCATGAGGACAATCACACTTGAGAAGATTATCTCTGAAGTCGTCGTAGACACTTCTTCGACATCGACTGTCCGATTCATACCTTAAATCACAGTGCCATTCAGACACGAGGTTAATGTGCTCATCTTCGCTGAATCCATGTTCGTAACTGTCTGTGCAATTACACCTTGTAGCCATAGTGTTTATAACACAAAAGTACAAACAGGTATCCTCGTCATACTGCGGCCATTTCTTCGCAAATTCAGAATTCAGTTTCAGAAAGTTGGGCCATTTATCTGCACAATTGCTGTATTTGCCACCCTGTCTTTCAATTACATTCATCCGCAGTGAGATATAAGTTGCTTCTCCGGCTCCGACTGCGAAACTTTGCGATCTCACTAAAGGTCGCGTTCTAGCGTCGTGAATGACTGCTCGCACTGCGGCCGTTGGTGCAAGCAACCCCATATACTCATCGGTATCGAGGAAAAGTGTCAACTTTAGTCCGAACTCCTGGCCAGTCTTGCTACTTGATCGAATGAACCAAGGGTTCGAAGTATTTTGGTCCCTTATAGAGTTAAAGCTGAAGCAGTTACCATAGAAAGGTTCCTGAAAGGTTTTGAAGAAGTTCGCGTCACATTTTCTACCATCATAAGTGCATTGAACTATGAAATCCTGTTTTTGGTGCCCGTTATACAAAACTAAATCTTTCGAAAAAAGAACTGCGAGTCTGAAGTCAGAAAAATCGGACAGTTCTGAGGCTTTGAGGAGGCTGTAAAAATCGTGTGGTTTGACAGTGTAAAACTGAACATGTGGGTCAAACTGCTTAACGAAAGTCTCGTAAGCTTCGAGACTCACGTAGTAGTTGTAGTTATAATTGAAGTCCCAATCATTATAATCAAAATCGGGCCATGGTTCTTCAGTTGTTAACAGCGGCACGTTTGGTTCTGGGGGTTCCATTTCATAATAGTCACCGTTCACGTAATCAAAGCTTTGTTCCGACCGCTTAGCTCTTACTGATTCATTGCCCAACTCCCATGTTTCTTTACGTAATTCCACTGTTTCATTACGCAATTCCAATGTTTCATTACGCAATTCCAATGTTTCATTACGCAATTGCAATGTTTCATTATACAATTGCAATGTTTCATTACGCAATTCCAATGTTTCATTACGCAATTCCAATGTTTCATTGATATCTAGAATCTTCATATCTCCAGGAGAGGGAAACCTAGGACTTGCCACATAACTCATTTGGAATCCGCGTTCATTCAGTAATGAGTCACTACGAAACCGTATCACGACAACTTGACTTCTTGGGAAAAAATCCACAATAGAAGGGAGGCCGTCTCCACAAATATGCTTAAACCAGCCCACTCTTAAATGCCGTGCTGTTTTCATGTCACTACCGTCGAAAATTTCAATATAATCCTTACACATACCCATTACTCCTTCCACTTGTAAATCCAGAATAGTCAAGATAAGCTCAGATCCCCTTGGCGCTTTAATTGTCCACGTGCAATCCATGTCCGCTTCATAATTTCCCGGGTAATTCTTGGACGAAAACACTCTAGGACTCTCTTTGGCATGATAGATTGTTTCACATTTGTCTATCAAACAGTTGATTGGATCTACTGTATCGAAGACGTTTCCGTCTGGTTCACTCCAGTGACATTCGTTTTGAACATCACATGGTAGCGCACAGTATGCTTCACCCGGACACTGAATATAAGGCCATGCACAAATGCCCTGTTCGTCAGTTATGTTATTTAATCTTCTTTGTTCTATCTCCGTGCAGTTATAGAAGAATGGATCTTCATCACTGCTATCTTCACAGTTACTGATTCCATTGCAGACCCATCTGAAAGGTATGCAGGTTCCGCTTCGATTGCACCTGTGGTCATTTTCTTCACACGATGACAACTGACCTCGATTGAAGGCGTTTTCTGCAAACGACTGAACCGAACTCATGACGAATCGGTCAAGCAGCAGCAGGTCTTCGTACTCAACGATCCTCCCAACTAGCGACTTCCTCAGTGGGTTCTCGTTACATACCGTCACAGCCGGGAACTCCAGCTGGGGCTTCGAGATAATTTCAATGTCAATATCAGTTGGATAATCGAAGTACATTTTAATCAACTTGGCGAATTGAAACAACAGACAAGTTATAAGTGCGATGTAAATGATCAACCAGGCAACTTGAAGGAACCAACGTCCTCGTCCGGTTTGGGAGATGGTCGCATCTCTTAGCCGAAATGCTGCAACTTTAAACTGCCCCAAAACTGATGATCCTTTTTTTGATGCAGTAGAGAAGGAGCGTATGCGTGTTTCGGTTTCCATGGCAACAAAGTACTTACTAGAGGTGATATTTTTCAATAAGAAATAACTAATATGAGAAATTGGAAATGCTCTTTTGGTATTGATTTGGATATCACCTGAATAAAAACCGCAAGTAAAAGCTAGGTGAAAATGATTCCGGTGTGCGGAAGCCGTGTAATATCAATAAAGACATCTATCCGGGAGAAACAGCCAAATTAAAATAGCCAAAAACTTAACGGGAATACTATTTGAACACAAATGGGACCTTGGGGACTATGTTTGGCCATAGACCATAAATTGAAACAAGAAGGAATACCCTGTCAGATTTATCAAAACTGCTGCTCTGGGAGATGAATAATTACAACAGCCACCAAAGTTCAACGGAGAACAAAATCTACAAGTTTTGCAGTTTTGAGAATAAATAATATAAATCTTCACCAAAGTTCGCTAAAATAGATTCATTTTAAGTCTAATACCTTAGGGAAAAACTACTCTAATAATTCACGAACGAAAGTAAAGTACAGAGAACCAAAGTTGGTTAAACTTACCATGACGTATCGGACGCCAGTTTGAACTCAATAAACCGTTAAGTAAGTAAAACCACTCTTCATGCAAGAGAAAAGAACACTACAAGTTCAGGCTGTCCAGTGGCTTGTGTCAGAACTTTTTGACTGAAAGGGACTTTCAAAGGTGAATGTTTTTAACCATTTTAAAACACCAGCATGACACGATTGGCCAAAATCTTATACGCCTCAGATGATGTTTTGGAAAAAATTGCTGTTTCTTTGATGCACTTTCTGGAAAGCTTTGTTCTGACAGTATTGCGTTTTTTTGGTGCGCGCTCTCTTCTCAAATAAGAATCTATTAGGGCTATTAGACAATATTTCAGGATTGGTCAGCGAGAAAAGGCTGTCAAAAATAGTAGCATAGGATCAAAATATAGAAAATTCGACGAACAAGGGCAACCTTGAGAACATTTAGCAGCTAAATTTTAGGAGGTAGATGCTACATTTTTAATTTTCAGCTACAATTTGTCTCGCTGATTAACCCTCAAAATTTTCTGCGGACAGCTTCGACCCAAGTGGCACGCTACTTGAAATACCACAGTCGGGCAAGTTGTAAGGACAAGTTTCGCCCCATAATTTTCACCAGGCCAGAATTCTGGCATATATACAGCAGCGTGCCGAGGCCCCCTCAAGTCTGATTGCCAAACTTTTCCAAAGGGTCCCCCCCTTTGGTATAACTTTACGACATCCATTATTGGCTGACCATCCTTAAAAAACCGAAAAACGCCTTCGGCCCCAATATAACTAATTTTGAGAGGGGGAGTTGAGGGCTCGCCGAAAAAAACGCTGGTAAAAGTGCATAAAAACGATAGTTTCCCAAAAATGCTTAATAGTCTTTTCGGATAGCTGGGATAATCAAATTGATCGACCTAAACTGCATATATCACAAGCGATATTTCTCTCAGCTTCATACAATGCCAACAGTTTGTCAGTATATACGCCATCAAAAACAAAAAATAGAATGACTAATGCTCTTATCTATATTTTGCATGTCGCAATTAGAATTTCAACACGGAGGCGAAGTTGCACTTCGCCTACACAATTAGAATTTCAATCACAATTACATCATATTACAATTTCAACTCAGAGTGTAACTATGACCGATAATGCTACTGGGAAACACTGAATGAGTAAAACTTTGATTCTACAAAATTTCCTAAGTGACGCACGCCAATTGTCGCGCACGCATGAGTCTGCATAATTGCTAAAAGACGTAAGCCAATAATGACGCATTAGCAGTACCAGTCAGTTTGAAAAAAAAAGAAATTTACCAACTAACATGTCTCAATTTATAAAGCGGTAGCATTCCGAAAAAGTTAATTAAAAACATCCAACAATGCCCAGGTTCGAACCTCTTTGTTGCTGGTCTGCCTACCTCTACGCTACAGATCCATGATCATAGTTTGCCAAATCATACCGATAATAGTATTTCTCACCTGGAGAATTGAACAACCTGACGGTGTGTATGACATTCTGCAGCTGCACAGTCACTCGACTCATCACAGGTCCCTTCTCTACCACCACAGTTGGACTCAGACTGGGAACTGACTTGGCTGGTCCGTCGGGGAGGAACAGGTAAGCCCCACTCTTGTCTTTGGCACTGGATGTACCATAGGTGACGAAGTTGAGCATGACCTTACTCCTTTCAAGAGTGTTTCGGTCTGTTATTCCGGTTAGCAGTCCGTTGTCTCCAAAATGCAGAATGTACTGGTAGTTTGACAGCTAAAAACACCACAATTTTGAACAGAAGTTCGTATCACTATCGCGTCAGGCAAAAAATAGATCACACGAATTGAAATTTATATACGCAAAATTGAGTCACTAAGCCGATAGAACATAACCCGAAATCATTTAGGCCGTATGAAGCTTCTGAGCAAAAAATGAATAACACTACGTCAAACTTATTACACTTATAAAACACAGGAGAAAACCAAAAACTCTTGCAGCTAAGACAAAAACATTTTACGGCACAATAAAATTGCGAGACGCGGCAAGCAAAAAGACAAAACAATCAGACAAACGACAGTTTTATTGAAACGGAACATTTTCTGTTTGAAAATAAAAAACAGGTCCTGACTGGATTTGAACCCTGGTTCTTTTCCGTCCGAGGCGTAGTCTTTACGTCAAGACCAATCGTGCCTGAGATGCCAAGAAATAGGAATTTATTACAAATCAAGCTTTCAAGTGATTTTCTAGAACAAGTTATTCGCCCAAAAAATGTTCGTATATTAGGCCAAATCCACGAAAGCTCTAACTGCTTCTTAACTGGTTTCGCATAATTTCTACTGAAAACATAGACAAGTAAAAATTAAGGACTCATATTTTGAAAAATCTCAATTTTCGATATTCAAGGAAAAAAAATAGATGCCCTTAAAGCTTTTTAAATTTCTGGAACATTTATGCTTGACACTTTTGGATAAAATAACCCGATTTGAGACAACTGAAGCAATAGGTTAATTTTTTATTTCGATGGGAAATTCAATAATCAAGTTCCATTTAGGAAACTAAAAGTCGATCACGTTTTCGTGACTTTTGCTGTTCGATAGTGGAGTTTGCTTTCCTTTTAACAATGGATATAAGCTTAAAGTCAAACCGCGAAAAGTAACCAGACATTTCCTGAAAAAACTCATCGCGACCCATACCAGAGCAGAGCCTGAACTACGTCCATTGACTCTTCACAAAGGTTAACCAGTTGCTGCGCAAACAGCATATACAATTCCGACCACGATAAAATTTGATGGATGGGAGGATTTGAACGAAAGACTAAAACTTTGGCTTATTCGATGGTAATAGTAAATTAGGTATAATCGACAACAGTTTTCCTTAGAAAAATTAGAAAAGCTGACTGAACCTATAAAACTACACTGGGAAGCCCTTCGCAAGCAAGTCTACTTATCGCAAGAGACTTGCGATAATTACGTTTGCTAGCGACGAGCTTGCGAGCGTAGTTACCAAAACTAGAAAAAAATATATATATATATCAAGCTGTTCACTTCAATACAGTAAATACCAGAAGAAAACAAAAGAGAACGTTTGATGACTCCTGAGGTTTCAAAATAACTTCCACTCACCTGAAACTCCTTTGGATCGACTGGCTGGATGGTAAATCCATGTGCTTCGAAGTTCATGTCCACGTTCTTCTCTGTTCTCAGTGTGAACAGTGTCGACCTAGTGGCAGCACCTGTGACGTCAGAAGTGTGCAAGGGAAGCAGGAAGTAGCGCGACAGAGATAGGGGGTGTATGTTGATGCGGAACCAGAGCTCGTATACATTTGATTGAAAGGCTATAGGAGAAGTCGGCTCAATGGAAGACCACTTGGGAGTTATTTGTGATTCAATTATGGATCCAGTGTGGCACAAGATCTAAAATTACAAGGAGTGGTTGAACAAATTATTTTCATGGTAAACAAATTGGCTCTGAATCTCAATCTTAACATTTCTCTCATATTGGAAAAAATTAGATTTAAGCAATTTACAATCTATCCTGAGCTTGTATGTTGGAATAGGACATTTGAACAACAAACCTTGACATTAGGACTGTCCACGAGAACTGACACAACTTGCTGTCTTTGAAACCCGAGTGAGTTATAGAACACGAGAGGGTAAAGAGCGCCAGTTGCCAGAGAGCGCACAGGAATCACGAATCCTTCCGGCAGAGAATCGTGACTTTTGCGGGCTTCGTCCAAGATAAGAGCATTGAAGCTAGAGGGTTTAGAGGTAGAAGGAGGTTCTGAGGATAGAAGAAGGTATTCAGCACTCGCTGCTATGACTTCATCTGCATTTTGAATCGCTTGCAGTAACTTACGTCCATAATCTATTACTACAGGATCCTAAAACAATCTTCAAAATATCTCTGAGAAACTTAAATGCGAAGTCATAACTGCTGCTAACCCATAACTTTCTAAATGCTTTCTTGCTCTATTTGTACAATTTAAGTACTTTTATTAAGTATTTTGACCTTTTACATTGCAACAAGACCAAATAAGCCACCTTGGCTGTTCCGGTAATTCCGTCGTGATGCTGGAACAGTCCTAAATTTCTTCTGGCGGCCGTTAGTTTTCCCAGAAGTCCAGAGTCACTAGCCTTCCAAAGATCAATCGCTGCATTGTGTGGGCTCGGTAGAAAATTAGCCAATGAGAACAGAACTTCAGCTGATCGTAGTCTTGACTCTAGAACTCGATCTAGCTTTTTGTAGAAAGGCCTCGAGGTGTAATAACCTGACCAGTAATGTGAGTCTCTATCTGCATAAGTATAGAAGTCCCCGCTAAAATCAAACTTTCGTTTGTTTTTTGTACCCCGAAGAGATTACTTATGATGCTTGCTTCCTTACAAGAAGTATATTCCTTTACATTTGTTCAAGCTAGTTATGCCAGGATTTTAAAAAATGATTTTATGCTCTAAATCGGAATGTGTTTTCTCATTGTTCTGAAACTCGCAGAACTTTGGAGATAGACTGCTAATTAATAAGATAATCCGATTCATCTGATATAAAAAATCCTTGCATGAAACGATTGTAAAACCGCAGTAACACCAACCTCAATTTTGGAAACTGAGAATTTTCCATTCTTTCATGGACCTTCTTGAAATAGTCAGACAACACTCCCCATCTGATGTTCACATTTAGCCCCTTGTTGGAGTTGATATACAAGAACAGCTTTTCATAGTTTGTGAACTGTTTGTCAAACTCCCCTGGGTTGTCATACCTATTAAAAACGAACAAATTGGAGAATCCTCCAAATAAACAATGATATTTCGATGAGCAAGAAGACACGTTTTGGGAAAAAGGAAGTTAAAAACGTATAATAAGTAATTTTGAAAAGCCATTAAGTTCCGCTCACTCATGATACACTGGCAACACTCCTTGAACAATTTTGAGGCACAACTGATCAAAAAAGATGGGAAGTTTACATTTTCACACCCAATTGGATGCTTTTCTTTTTCAGCTTACCGGAAGTCGTCGCCCAGAGGAATGAGAAGAACATTGCTGCGAAATAGTGAAGCTTTCTTCTTGTACTGGTCCACTAGAACTTCAGCACGCTTCGCTACTGTTCCATCTGTGATTAACTGAAAACATAATCTGTGCTTCACAAACATTAGCGAGAACACGACAAAAAAAGCATCTCTATAAATTGAGTTAAGAAAAAGTAGAAATAAGCCTGGAAGAAGGCGTGTCATGGAGCCGAATAACCAGTTAGCCGAAAAAATTGTTTCCCCCGTTACCCCACACTTAGCCCCATCATTATTTTTCCCTATTTCTTCCTCTCCTCCCTCTTTACACACATTGCCCCCCCCCGCCCCGCAAACAAACAAGTGACGTGTTTATCCTTTCCAAGGGAAGAGAATTTGATTTCAATTTAGAACTCAATTCAGTTGATTAACTATAACTGAATGCACTTTTTCTTAGAAATGCTAATCAAACCGAGTTCAGGCATCTCAGACAGACATCGTCCAATTTCATAGAAATGGGAACTTTTAGAAGTTTATACTAATTATGAGCATCCAATACAAGCAACCTACCGTGGGAGCGACCTTCCACGGACAACTGTACTTTGTGGGAGGGAGCCGAGCAAAGTCAAATTGGCAGCAAATCTTGGGGTCCGGCCCACACGTATGCGGAATATCGTATGAGTAAAATGGCATCATGTGACAAAATATATCATTTTTTCCATCTTCACTTTCCCAGTTCTGTTTCCACATAAACTCCAACTTCTTCTGTTGCGACAACACCTTCTTCACTTCATAATGAGTTCTCTGTATCAGCATGTCAGTAAAACCCATTCGTTTTCTAAGGTAAGCCACAGTAGGGCTTTGTCCAAAGGGGTCTATTGACCAGGCAGTGCTGCTTTTGATTCCCAAGTGATCCATGATCCAATTATTCCCTTCTATCATTTGGTCTACCATAGCATAGACGTGGGTGTTAGCTTCGTCTTCCATCACCCATCCTCCAGTTACTAGCTCTACTTGGCCATTTTTGATCAGTTTCAGCATTCTGTCTCTGAGTGATTGGGACGCTTGCTTCCACCACATCGAGAAGTAGGAAATCTCGGCCCAGATGAACTTCCGCCTAAATCATAAACAAGTTGAAAACATAATGCAATTGAATCACATTAGCAGTTTTTAAAAAATGGATCTTTTAAGAAATATTGAATTAAGGGTTCACCTAATTTCTATTAGAAAAATTAGTTCATTTGAATTTTTTGGTCTCTCTTTAAACCCTTTTTCTACTTGCACGAATCAACAAATCTTGGAAGAATTTCGTAAGTTTTAGCTGGCTTAAGTTAATGAACAATCATTTAGCTTTCAAAATAAACCAATAAAAGTGCCAAATCTTTCCAACTATACTTACTTGACATCCACTTCTAACTTTTCCACAATATTGTTCAAGATATTCTTCGTCTGGTCTGCGAAGTACTGCTCGTAGGTCTTGATCCATCCAGGGTCATTGTGAGAATGAGGCACAACGAAAACTTCCAATGGCCTTGAAGGCGTGAAGTCAGAACTATCAGTGTACTTGATGTCAAAGCCTTGTTTCCACACTCCTCCGTTTTCGTTTTTAAATGATATGTTTCCGTATAGCTCAACTGTTTGCAGCTCAGCACTGCTTTTCAGATGCTTCGAAGCGAAGTTGCACCGGTCCTAATAATTAGTAGAAATTAATTCAAGGAGAGTTAGACATCAACAAATAGTTGACGTTCATTGTTAGAGCGAAATAACTTAATTCGGAATCAACTGTATAATACTGAGTTGGTAAATTGTATTTTATTATTAAAATAACAACTAACAGTTAACTATTGAGAAAAAAATATGTTTTTTTATGTTAAATTGTTAAATAATTCAAAACATTAAGAAGCCTTAAGTTTCTTGTTTCTTGAAGAGAAATGCCACTTTTACAGCTTTCTCGACGCCAAATTGGGCTCAGAGTTTCCCATAAGTGAAAACATTAAGAAGCCTTAAGTTTCTTGTTTCTTGAAGAGAAATGCCACTTTTACAGCTTTCTCGACGCCAAGTTGGGCTCAGAGTTTCCCATAAGTGAAAACATTAAGAAGCCTTAAGTTTCTTGTTTCTTGAAGAGAAATGCCACTTTTACAGCGTTCTCGACGCCAAGTTGGGCTCAGAGTTTCCCATAAGTGAAAACATTAAGAAGCCTTAAGTTTCTTGTTTCTTGAAGAGAAATGCCACTTTTACAGCTTTCTCGACGCCAAGTTGGGCTCAGAGTTTCCCATAAGTGAAAACATCAAGTTGAGGATTTCCGAAAATAAACCAAAAACGCCGACTTGAAAGAATTCAGCACTTCCCACTAAAAATTCAGATCACCCCCCCCCCCCAGCGGAAGATATTTAATCTGAAAAACAGTTATATGCGGAGTGTGTTTTCAAGAAATACCCACATTTCTTAAAAAAATAGCTAACATCACTGTTAGAAAACATAAATAACAGTGTAAGTTAAATTGAATGTTAAATAACATTGTTAAATAACTTCCCAACCCTGGTATATTATTTCCTCCAAACCGTTTTAGAGTATGGATTTCTCAAGGAACATCTTTGCGTATAGCCTAGATTTATACTATTAATAGTTTTATCAGAGAAAATTGATTAACAATATATTAATTTGGTTAATTAACAGCATTCAAATGCAATCCAAGATAAAAGTTGTGAACACCACTTTTATTTGCGCGTTTCTTGATTTGCGGTTGTGGGGTTGACGACAGCCAGTAAAAATAATTCGCAAAGAGTTCATTGTGCTCCTTGATAGGTTTTTAATAGGTTTCAGCGCAGCCAATTATAGTTCCAAATGCTGTTTTGTCGGGTGTGTAGTTCATTTCAGCTCCTAGATCACTTACTGAAGGTTTCCTGACAGAGGCCGCGTAACTCATAACACTACACGAAAGGTCCTTGAAATGACATCCAGTGTTTACTGACGCACCACCAGCTTGCACCTGAGAGCTTTTAATTATGTATATTTATCAGTGGCAGTTTAATCAGTGAATAAGAGGTTTTTGGATGGTGGCTGATTTCTGAAAACTGCATTGCTTTCAGTCTTTGATTAATAAATAAAATAATTATATAAAATAGAAAAGTTATTAACTAGCTATCAAATGATTCAACTGATTTTATGAGCCAAGTGGCTTTATCCTGATTTGATAAAGTTTGCTAATCAGAAGTATAACAAGGACACCCGGTTACTATGATAGTAGCCCAGAATCTTCCGACCAAAGTCTTACAAAATACAAAAAAAAAGTTTTTTCAAATTAGTGTAGTTTTTATTTCTGCGTGGTCTGATGAAAACAACAAAAAATAGAACTACGGCATTATCGACAGTCATAGTGATATGGGCCAAAGATGATAAGTAGATTTTAAAAACTGGACAGTCGAATAATATATTTCAAATGTCTCTGAAATCAATAAGACAATGTCCAGCACATTTGGTTCACTCACGCATCTTGAAAGATAGAATTTCTGGCAGCCAGAAGCTCTTTATCATTTGGTAAGATGCTTTAAAGACACGAGTTTTCAGAGTTACAAATTATGTTATTCATCGCCAATTACGGTCTGTACTAAATGGAAACCGGCCAACTCGAAGAACCAAATATAGGTTTCTCAGCAGCCTATTCTCAAAATTCAGCTTCCTTTTTAAATAGGCCTATTTAACGATTTCAATTTTAGTCTAGTTGATATAACTATGAATATATAATTTTAAGCTAACATACCAATTATAAAATACATTCCCAGCAATACTCACAATCCCATGATTTGCTCCAAGCTGTGGTTTATCATAGAATCTTCTTGATTCTGCTTCAGCAAAACTATAGGCACCTTGTTTAGATTCTCGAGGAGTCTCGTCTTGCTCGTATTCGCGCACTTTTGATTTTAATTCCGCGACCCGATTCCTGAGATAAGAAATTTGCCTTTTTTGAGCAGCATCTTCTTCAAGTTGAAAAGAGAAAAACCACGACAAAAGAATAAACAAGATGATAACTAATAAATAAGGGATTAGCCGTCTTGCATAAACTCGTGCCATTCTAAACATCAGTTTAACGTTCAACGGCAATTTAAGGTCTCAAGAGGCTCCATTCAGCCTGAAATGATTTCGTAGTAGTAGTAAAAGATTTAGAGACGGTTCTCATTCCAGGGTAGCAACAAAACACCGAGTTGAAGAAGCTTTTTTCAAACCTTTGTGAACAACTTAAGGTCATTTAAAGGGGGCCCTTCCGCCATACCAGGGTCCGTGCACAGGTTGGATATGACCACAACAATGTGGGCTGACTTTTTACCAGACCGACCTTAAACCAGAAAATTTATGTGCCAGTCTGTCATATTCAGAAGTTTGACCTTGATTTTCGGGGAAACTGTATTTTTTGAAAAATTCGAATCGCCCATGTCAAGCTCAAGTTTATCGCGACAACTGAAATGAGAAGTCAATTTAATTAGAAGATGTAACATTCGCCCGGAAGATACATATCGACGGAAAATAAAGCTAGGTTCTAAGACGACTGGCCAACGTCTAAACAGAGCTCTGCATGCTTTTCACCGTCTCTACCAAGCCAGTACTTTCGGTGGTCTTTCTAACATCGGGTCGACAAAAACGTTATCGCTTTTGGCTTCAGTCAAAACACTCAAATTAACTAGATTACATGCAGAAATAGTGAGCTCATGGCTGGGTCTTAGTATCCCCAGACCACGAGGTCACTCCTAAAAACAGGGCTACTACTATTTATTGAATTGTTATTGTTTTTGTTCAGTAGATAAAAATCATCATCTCCATCGATGATGGATCAACCCTTTCCCCCAACTCCTAGCTTCTCATCCTAGCAAAATGAATTCAGATGTTAATTAAATTCAATTCAGGACATAATAGGGAAGCTAAAATTTTGTATAAGATGATAAAAGTTCCAGTCCCGAGACCCCTCCGGATTCTCGAATCCGGGGTAATAAAACCTTTATCTTCCTCCCGGAAGGCTGACACAATAGTTGCAACTCGGAACGGTCTCTGCTACTTTTATAATTTGTTGTTGTTTTCCAATCACAATTCTCGTCTTTATCGCTATCGCAACTAATGTTGTTGTGTTTTATTTCGGTTTTCTGCCAAAATGGTCATTTCTGACCTTTCTTAGAAATATGACGTCATACTTCGTAAATTTAAAAATTTCAAACACCAGAATATTCTAGCCTTCACCGTTTGACTAATCGTCCCAATAACGTCGTTAATCTCTTAAAACCGTCAATTCGGAAGGTTCTCTGCTAAAAACTCGAAATTGCTGCGTCTGCATTTTGGAGCATTCTGGTCGAATGTCACATACTCCCCGGACAGTCCGGTCAAAGTCCTCATTGAATCTCGCAATGTTCATAAAATTGGTACAGTGTCATCGAACAGAATTTACAAAATGCACGAAATTACTCTTATCCGCGTCAAATCGACTCACTGCAGAAAATAAATGGCATCATACTACATCACTATAGCCTTCAAATTCTTTCACTAATCTGCACATTGAGGATATGACCTAAGATAAAAACATCTTTTCTGACTTTCAATGTCAATTCCCTGATTAAAACTTTTCTCCTAGATTTTTAAAAGATGTTGGTTTGCAGGACAGTCCTGCCAACCAACAAGCTAAATTTATCCTACTATGCTTTTGTCCCTTCGGAAATCTTGCTTGTTATTGTCCTGAATATTAAAACTAAGAAACTCTGTGGTTAGAAAGAACAATGAGACAATCTCCCTCTTCGAGAGATTACCCAAGCCTTTCATATCACCACAAAGTGATCAGTTCTCCTAGTTGATTAAAAACAGTCATGCAGGCAAGAATATTTAAATATACTCTCTACTCAAGCCTTTCTAAATAAATTGTAAGTAAGTGTCTCTAAAGCCACCAACTAAAATCAAAATGCAAATTTATAAATGCAACAAGTTTTTTAATGTTGAAAGCTCAACTAAATGTTTCAGTTTTCAATTACAACTTGGTTGCTTGGTTTTTCACTTGAGTTTTTCAATTCATGCTTGGTTTCTCAAATAAAACAATTTTGAGTTTTTATTTCTTCTTCTTCGTCACTCCTCCGTTTTCTTCTTTTTTCGTCGTTTAGAAGTTCTAAAACTTCTAAGTTCTTCTATTTTTCTTTCTTTTTGCCTCTTGTTCTTTCGACCGTTTGTCAATGTTCCATCTCTTCCTCCTGTGACACTGACTCTGCACTTTCAGTTTCTGTGTCTTGCAACACATCGTTAGCTATTCTGACGCTGTTGGAAGCAGTCCTCTGTTTGCAACAAGGTAAGGGTATCAACGTTAGATTCTCTGTTTCGGCAGAAGCTGTTGTGGAGACACAACGTCACGTTTCTTTCCAAATCTTCCTTCAACATCTCTTCCTTCTCCTTTCCACTACGTTCACTCGTCCTGAATACTTTTTTTACAGCGGTGGTCACTGCATTCCGATCAGTCACGAAAGCTCGCTTGAAAGCTCCTGCTCCAATGTCCAGCTGATATCCACTGTACACCCTGCCGTGCTTCGACATATGCTTTTTGGCATATTCGTACAACCATGCAGTCATGTAAGCTCTGAACCATGGCATCAATCGTCTTCTTACCCATATCTTTTTCACTTCCATCGGAATGTTTAGAATCTTGCACAATGTCTCAAAAAGATCTAAATCTTTTAGACAATCCAAATTCTGCAACTGTTCTCTCGTCGGTGCCTACTGTCTATTGTTTTCTCTCACATGAGCCGCCAGCCATCGTATCGCCATCATAACTCCCACTATCACTATCGTTATGGGCCGTTTTGAGTCTGGTAAACCCATGGAGAGCAGCTATCCAGAGTCCCAGACCAACACCAGATAACTACGCTCGGGATACCACCAGGTCTGCAGCAAGCAGTGGCAGGGAAACTCGTCATGTGTCAACATGATGCTCCTCCAATTACGTTTTCCGAAGCTTCCAGTAATGGTTCCACTTCCATCATCACTCGGTGGACTTCATTTTTCTCGTCTACTGTATTGTAATCTGTAACGGTTGATCCTCTCTCGGTTTCTGTCTTTCAAAGTCACTGAAGTTCTCGCTCACCTTCCCATGAACCTCCTTCCCAGTATCGATTCCAACTCCTCTCTCTGGAACTGCTGAGAACATTTTACCTAGCAACTCGTAAGATTTTGCGGCCATTCTCGTTAATCGCACACACTTTGGCACTGAGAAGGCTTGATCCACGATCGTTCTCGTACTCTTTACATCCACAGCTACGAAATGCACCGCGTATCTACTCTTGCACATTGGAGCCAATGTCGATCCCACCAAATATCGTGCTTCTGATGGTCTAAAATATGACCCACTATGTCTGATGTTCATTCCGTCTCGTTCGCTTCCCTCCATTTCCCTATGTACTTTTGCTCAGTTTGCAGAACTCCTGGGAACACTTCTACACTGATGGCTGTGACCATCTCATGTCTCTGTTCGAGATTCAATAGTGACTCTAAAGAACCAAACATGCTGTAGAATCCTAGTGCAGTCACTAGATTCACCTCGGTTCCTCCATGGCAATCTGCGATCAGTTCCGTTTCCGTTCTCGCTTTCATCACGACATTCCCAAACAATATCTTCAATTGCTTGTGTTGTCTCTCCAGGGTTTTCACACAATCCAGACCTCCACAAACGTGACCTTCCAGTCCACAGACTTACGCCAGACAGCTACCAGGTTTGACCCAGTTCTCTGGTCCCCAGCCAAGCAACTCCACTTTGTCTTCCCCGTTGTTCCTAGAGGCTGTTATAATCACATTATATATGATGTTATGGTCACGCAGGTTACAATCTGCATTCAGCTCCCTCCGCAAGTCTTGTGTCGCCCGTAATATCGAGTCAGCATTGGGACTAGGACACCATGATGGTCTCATCAGTTCCCACACTACCATCGAGGTCGTTCTCAGTAGTTCATCTGAGAATCCCAACCCAAACTCCACTCTTTTGTCGGACTTTGGCACGGAACGTGCAGTCACCTCTTCTTCCATGACCAGTCCCAATTTGGTCTGTGGATTATTAGCGCTCTTAATCGTTACAATCCTCGACGTCCAGAATCTTAGCAACACTGCCTGCTCGTAATCGAAGAAGCAATCGCGTATGTCTTCACTCAGAAAAGGGTTGTACGCTATCCCAATGATTCCGGACACGTAGCTGTACGACTTCTTCTTGATCGGCCCACAGTACTCACTGGATTTCGGTAGTGTCCCCATAGATTCTTTAGTGAGTCTCAGCTCTTTGTTTGAAAATCTCCTGATTTCGTCTATCTTTCTCATGGGCTCTAACTCCTCAGGTTCTTTCATATTCACCCTCATCGGCTTGCTTTGATGCATCTCCAGCAGTGCTAGCAAGATTAAGCCTTTTGCTTGTTCATCGCCCTCCCTCAACATCTTGACACAGGTGTTCAATTCTGGTACTGAAATCTGCTCTATCAGGAATCGAATGAAACAGAGAGCATCTCTCCGCTTCGCGCACGCTACTGTCATTCCTTCCTGGATTATCAGATCCCTCAGGTTCATCATCAGGAATACTTTTTCTTCTTTTGACCTTTCTCCTTTCTTCTGAGTCATATTCCCCGCGAGTTAATCCCATCATGCACCAGGCGAACCTCTGTTGTAATTCGGTTCTTACGTAGGGTACTGCCATGAGAGCCTGTATTCTCAGCGCAGTCCTCATTTCCTCTTCGAAGTACTTCAACACCACTGCTTTCCATGGAAGGCTCACTAACTGTTCGATCGTTTCCGCCTGCATCTCGGATGACGCTTAAGTTCCATATGCCTTCTGCTTGAGGGTAGTGCCTCGCAACATTGTCTCCAGATAACCTTCCATGGCCATTTCGTCTTCGAGAGCCATCACATACCCTCTAGCCGAGTTTCGATATTCTAACATCTCCATGTATCCACCGGCGGGTTCATCTATTGACACAGTCTCCGACACTGGCAGTCGGTTATACTCCACTGGTACTAGTTGTCCTGCGACACTTCCCTTTCCGTGGTTCATGGGAGATGGTTTAAAGTCTTTCATCGTGCTTTCTCCACATTGGCTAAGTATTTCCATTTCTAGGGTTGCTCCAGTCAGAGTGCGG